GAAATAGCTTTGTCCCCCAGGCTATTAGATGTTTGAATGTTTAATGTCAAATGTGTACAGAATGTATATTTTATAGTAACTATGGTATCTTGATTGTATTTTAGTGTATGATTGTAAGCCAACTGCAACAGAATTTCATTTTATTATGCACTTGGTGTAGAGTGTATAGTGGGATGACAAAAAAGTTATTCTATTCTATTCTATTCTATTCTATTCTATTCTATTCTATTCTATTCTATTCTATTCTATTCTATTCTATTCTAATCTAATCTGTAACTGTCTCCATCTTCTGGTAAAGATGAAGATGCCCTCTAGTCAAATTCAACTCTTCAACTCCATGACACCTCATGGAAGAGGCATCAGGGGCATTGTGTGGGGAGCAATGACAAAAATCAAGACGTTGATTTTTTATGATCACAGGGCTTTAAGCACACAGTCGTGGCTGTCATCTTGTATTTGTACATCCTGCCCCCAGCAGAAAGCACCAGATGCCGTTTTCTTGCCAACAACATGGGCGGGCCGCTGGCTTTGTCATCGGTTTGACCTCCCAATTTAAGTCTCCATTCTTGGTCTCCTTGGCTGTCTCCACATACTAGCCAGGTCAAACCCTGCAGAGCTTCTAAGTCCAGGAAAGGCCAGCCCCACTCACCTGTTGAGACTCATTTAGTGGCAGTGAAGCTAATTACATATCCCATTGTCTGTATTTTATTATTACACATTCTGCAAAATCTAGGCTGCCCAGCCACAGCAATAAACTAAACGACACAGGAACCATATACAGTAAAAACGGACAGTAGAGACCACTGCAGTTGGGCGGCCAACCAATTTAAATGAATAAACCATAGTAACAGGAGGGGGAAAGAAAAATTAAAATGAAAACAAAAGCAGGGGGGACACCATTCATAAACTATTGGTCTGGGTGCAGAGGCAGATCTTCTAAAAAGCAGCAGCACATTCCTTGCGAAAATCAGGGAGAGAGCATTCCAAAGTGTACACACCAAGGGGGGTTAGGAGGGGCGGCGGGCAAAAAGTCAAGAGCCACAAAGACACGGTTCAGACGCAACGCTCCTTCCCGCGGCCCCAGCGGAGGGACATCCGGGACTCTGGCACGCAGCCAGCTCCACTCTCTATGGTCATTTTCTAACCAGAGCGCCGCAAGCTCTCCAGACCCGCAAGTGGCCCTCTCCAGAACCGGAAGCCTCGCTCTCCCCGAGTCGCTCGGCCGCCGGAAGTTCAACTATTTGGGAAAAGCAACGATTACATGTGGGACTGGGGCGGAAGGGAGGGATTCATGCCGCTCCATTAGGAACTAAATATTTTTTTTAAAAAAAATATCGGGCGGCAAGTACAGAGAGCGAATCCCTTTCTTCCCCGGAAACCGGAAGTGGGTTCCGAGTTGGGCGGCGGACTGAACCTCGACCCGGAAGTGGTATCTTGCGCTGCCGGGGAGACCGCGAGTCCCTCTCGGCTCCCCCGTTCGTCGCCCGGCAGCCATCATGGGCAAGCCACGCCGGAAAATCCCGCAGGCTTTGCGGGCCTCGGCAGAGCGAGAAGAGAAGATGGAGGAGCCGGAGCCGGGGGAGCCGCGCGTGACGGAGGAGGCGGACGACTTCCACGAGCGGCGGCTGGAGGAGGCGGTCCTGGCGGCGCTGGGCAGCGAGGAGGAGGAAGGCGAGGAGGAGGAAGAGGAGGAGGTGCTGGGCCTGGAGCTGTCCGAGGAGAGCGAGTCTGAAGAAGATGGGGAAGGGCCGAGCGAGGACGCAGGGCCTAGTGGCGAGGAGGAGGACGACGACGAGCCTCTGGACATGGACAGCGACCTGGAAGAGCAGCGGGGCGAAGGCAGGTGGGGCTCAGGCCTGCCCCATGAGCTAGCTTGGGGTCAGCGGAAGAAGCTCTACTATGGTACGGACTACGAGGCGGCAGGGAGCCGTCCCAAAGCCCCCAAGAAGAGCAAGGAGGAAGCGGAAGCAGAGGAGCTGGAAGAAGAGGTGGAGGCTCAGGCCATTCAAAGGCGGATGGCGGAGAATTTGGGGGAGGAGGACTATGGCTTAGACCTCCTGCAGGCTTACACCAGGGCAGCTGAGCCAAGTGGAAAGGAGTCAGGACAGAAAATTGCCAAGGACTTGGCATCTCTTTCTAAAAAGGAGCAGCTGAAGTTGCTGAGAAAGGAATCTCCGGAACTGCTGGAGTTGATTCAGGACTTTGAAGCCAAAGTCATTGAACTCAGAGATGAAGTGGAGCCGCTCATGCAGATGATCAGGAACAGAGTCATCCCAGAAGGAAAAGGTAGCCAGTATTTGCAAACCAAATATCACCTCTATCTGAACTACTGCTGTAACATCAGTTTTTACTTGGTGCTGAAAGCAAAAAGAATTCCAGTCCATGGCCATCCAGTCATTGAAAGGCTTGTAACTTACAGAAACTTAATAAATGACTTAGGAGTTGTGGACCAAAAACTGTTACCAGAGGTTCGTCTGCTTCTTAATGAATTCCATAATAGTGAGACCAATGGGATGGAAAGTAGGATGAAGTCCTTGCTATTTGTCAGAAAAGCAGTTAATAAAAGGAAATCAAAATCTCCAGAGTTTTCTAATGGCAAGGCTGAAGAAGAACCCACAGATGATTCAGATTTTGATGAACA